GCCTGGCCTGGAAGACAAGGGGCAGACACTGTCTAAACAAAACGTAAGAGTGGAGCAGAAAGTATCAGTAGCACTGTTAACATCAAGAGATGATAACTGTTCAGGGGAAGGAAGCGAAGATGAAACCATAGTAGATAGCCGGGAGGGTGAGAGTGATCATAGGTTACGTAGAAAAGTGACATGTGGAGGGGTATGTGGATTAATCAGGAACCATGTTAGGATTAACCATGTCTTGTCAGGAACAAGACGCACAATAGGTCAATATTCCCCATTAACCAAACGCTTTTCACCTGCCTCAACATCTCTCAGTTTACACTCTGATTGATGCACATAAGCAAACAGACACTGCAATTCTACACTTTTACCTATTTTCTACCATGCTTTATTCTTCTAATTAGAAGTACAAAATGAGGATTTGAAAAGAAGAATGTCAGAGGATTTCGATATAAGCCAAGAGGAGACTGGTTTTCCTTTGCTAAAGTAAGGAAACTTTGCTTCCTTTGCTCCTGTTAAAAAACGTTGGTTTTCACGAGACTCACCGGCGCATGCGCAACGCCGACATCTTACCGTCATCCCCCCGGAGCTGCTTCTGTGTACAACTGTTGGCGCAAGCTAGATTAAAGTGAGTATTATGTTTGAAATATGGATATTTTTCTTACAAAAACGCATCGATTCACTACAGGAGGCCTTTGTTCACACCCCAGAGCCGTGTGAGGCACTTTTTATTGTGGATGGATGAGCTTTATTTCACTTCTTTTGGACTGATGAACTGCAACACCCGCTGACTGCCATTAAACAGCTTGGAAGATCAAAGTGTTAGGGTTATGTTTAGTTTTTGTACTGGTTTTCTTTGTGTTTTCAGTTAATCTGTTCCCCTGTAACCTAGTTTTACTTAGTCTCCTGATTGTCATTTTGTTCACCTGTGTTTGATTAATTAACTCATCAGCTCCTTTTGTTTGGGTTTTGCTTATAAGTCCTCAGTTCTCCCTTAGTCTTCGTCCGTTCACCGTCATGTTTAGTTTGCTCTTAGATGTTTTTGATTTATTTGTCTCCTGGTTATTCTCTTGATTTGAAGTTGGAATTAAAGATTGTGTGCTGGATTACTCCTGCGTCGTGCACTTATCTCCATAGAGCACAGTACCTGTGACAGATGAACGGACCAACAACACAAAGGATGAGGATGGAGCTGGTGTCTATTAATGTGGCCCTGAAGGGCGGTGTTCATAGCCCTTCAGGGGCCACAATATTCATTTTCCAGAACGGCCGAGACTTGGAGGATTATGTGCGGGAGTTTGTGGACTATTGCCATCACGCCACATGTGATGACCTCACCTTAATGGAGGGATTCTGGTGCGGGCTGGAGGACGACATCCGCTTCATAATGCCTATAGCTGATCCGTGCTGGTCACTGAAGAGCTACATCAACTTCGCACTGTGGATCGCCGGATCAGCTCTCACCGTGGACAAAGCGGAGTCCAGCCCGTGGTCGTCACATGTGGTTGCCGCAAGCTCGCCGTCCGCTCCTTCGTCAAGCCCGCCGGCCGCTCCTCAGCCAAGCTCTCCGCCCGCTCCTCAGTCAAATCGGCCGGCCGCAACATTCTCAGGCTCTTCGGCTGCCACTCACTCAAGTTCGCTGGCCGCGGCATTCTCAAGCCTGCCAGCCGCCGCTGACGAAAGCACGCTGGCCTCCGCTAACTCAAGCCCGCTGGCCGCTGCCCTCTCAAGCTTGCTGAAGAGTTGAAGCCCGCTTCACTCTTTCAAACCTCAGCCCAGTGGAAGAGGCAGAAGAGGAGGAAGCGGTCTTCCAAAGCTCCAGCTCTAGAGTCCGCTCCAGCGTGCCTCTCCACGCTTATGGACATGGCGCTAACCCCCGAGTTTTTAGCTCCAATCCTCACCCCAGAATCCGCTCTAGAAAGCTCTCCTGAGTCTCCTTCATTTCCGCTGGCCCCGTCCAGCTCTCCATCGTCTCCTGAGTCTCATTCGCCTCCGCTGGTCCCGTCCAGTACTCCTTCGTTCTGCCATGGCCTACTGAGTCCCCTGTTCCGCCATGGCCTCCTATGTCCCCTGATCCGCCATGGCCTCCTGTGTCCCCTGATCCATGGCCTCCTGAGTCCCCTGATCCGCCATGGCCTCCTGTGTCCCCTGATCCGCCATGGCCTCCTGGGTCCCCTGAGCTACCAGCTCCGCCATGGCAACCTGAACTGCTTGCTCCGCCATGGCTCCCGGACCTCCCTGATCCGCCCTGGAGGCTCTCCTTGTCTCAGCCCAGTTCCAGTCCTGCACCAGCCTCCAGGGCGCCTGCCCCCCCTCCCCGATGGTACTGTTACGGCGCGGGACGTGCCTTCCGGGAGGAGGGAGATATCTGTCATGTGTGTGTTTCTGTTTAGTTCCTGTCTGCCCTTATTTGGTTCAGTTCCTGTTCTCATTTAGTTAATCATCATTCATTAGTTTCCACCTGTGTTATATTAATCATCTCATTAGTTCCCTTTGTTTGGGTTTTGCTTATAAGTCCTCAGTTCTCCCTTAGTCTTCGTCCGTTCACCGTCATGTTTAGTTTGCTCTTAGATGTTTCTGATTTATCTGTCTCCTGATTATTCTCTTGATTTGAAGTTGGAATTAAAGATTGTGTGCTGGATTACTCCTGCGTCGTGCGCTTATCTCCATAGAGCACAGTACCTGTGACACAAAGTCAATTTTTTACTCCGATTGGATTCATCTGAAAGAAGGGAGTCATATACGCCTAGGATGGCTTGAGGGTGAGTAAATAATGGGCTAATTTTCATTTTTGGGTGAACTATCCCTTTAAGTGTAAGTGTCAATGAATTTAAGAAAAATAAAAGACATTTAAATCACCATTTTGCTACCCTTTTGCTGCGCACTCAGAATGCATTTTGAAATTCACACCGCATTTTGCTACAATTATCACGCGGTATCACGATGAAAATGCAATCTCAAGTGTCCTACCCGTAAGTCTAAATGCATTTAGGAAAAATGGCATTTAAATGATCATTTTGCTACCGTTTTTTGCTTGGACATGTTAAACATATCTAATCAATTTGGGTAATACAATTTCATTTTAATTTTGCAACTTAT